GAGGGTAGTCCTCCATTCTGGATTTGCACATTGATCGAATCCGTCAATTTGATCATTGCCTCGTTGTTAGCCATGTTGAATTCTGTATCGGACAAAATTTACTATTCACAAAATTCACTATTCACGTGAATAGTAACATTGTAGAAACTGACAGAATTTACCAACCAAAGGCTTTGATATCAGTTGTTGGGATTATAACTTATCCTAAGTAGGGCCCGCGAAAAAATGCTCCATTAATTACGTATTGGATATTGACGATCGAATCCACCTAAATAATAACCACGGTAAAAATTAAATAATTACCGTAAATACCAGATGAAAAAATAAGGACACCGAGATTTACGTGGTTCACCCTTCAATTGTTATGGGCTACATCCACGGAACAAAAACTCCGAATAATTTTTCTACTAAAAATAATAGTTACAAAAGAGATTATAAAAATAGTGGTACTCTAAGTGTTTTCCAAAATATCCAAAAATTATAATCCTCATTATTTTCTCTCATTCCCAATTTTAGAAACCCTTTCCTAAAATTCTATATACTCTATGTATTTCTATTCTTTTATTTTTGTACTTTGTGAGATGCAATTCATTCTCTATTTACAGAGAATGAAAGACACGTAATCAACGCATCCACCACCTTCAAGCCATCTTTGTTGAAAAATTTTTTTTTCAAAAAAAACATGCGTACTCATTTTCCTTTTTTTCTTTCTTTCGCTGTCTTCTTTGACTACCCAAAACAAATCGTGTTTGTTACTTTATTTTTTTTTTCTTTCTTCAAACTTGTGTGGATCCCACATATTGGAGGAATCTCACAACACTCAAAACATCGAAGGTCACATTTATGCTTGGAACTCTAGAGTTTTGAAGTACTAAATTATCTTCATTTGGATGACCAACAATTAGAATAGCCATCAAACCTCCACCAACAATTTCTTCAGCTCTAGCATAACAATTTCTTCAGCTCTAGCATTTAGGAATTTATTCATATCATTCTTGAATTGATTTGAATATGCTTGAGTAACCTCTTTTACCAACCTTGAGCAATATATGCTTTCTTTATTCAGAGCAGGAGCTTCCAAAATTTCTCTAGGAATCTTAGACAGCCAATGTACTGCATATCAGGAGTGAAGAAAATGAATAGAAGATTTTGGGAAAAGGAGATTGTAAAAAGAACCAGGCACTTCTACTGCAAAATATTTTCGATCGATAGGTAAGGTTCTAAAGAGAGTGTTAAAATCATTGTCCGTTAGGTCATTGAAGAAAACTTGGAATTCTAAAGGTGGTGGGTTTTGAAATTGGGTTTGGTATTTATGATTTATGGCTTCTATTAGATTCTGCACTGCGTAAAATGTATTGGGTCCTGTTGAGCAACCAACATCTACTATTCTAAATGTGGTTAAAGCTTCAAAACTTGGATTCTCGAAGTCAATCTCGTCCTTGATGCCTTCATTTATCAATTCCTTTGCAGTTAGTTTCCAATCCTAATTTCTGTGTAAAAAATGCATGTAAATTGTATAAGCATTGCAAAATTTTATACTCCCTCTGTTCTTCCTCTGTTCACTTAATTTAAAGAAAAAAAAAAACTCTAAGATTAAGAAAATATTTAAACTAATTTTTTTAATTTTTAAAATAGATAATTAGATATTATTCTCATATAGAGGGAAAAGTTTGTCGGCATAAACATACTGTTCAATTTAAATATTTCATCTTTATGAACTAATCTAAAATGTTTTTATTGATTTAGCATATAATACCAGAACTACAGGCAAACCCCTGCTTAGCAAGTTCTTGAAGGAGCAAACCATTACCAGTTCCAATGTCAAGCACACTCCAGCTAGACAAATATTTATCACCCTGTTCAACAGGTCCAGACTTGATATCATCAACATGATTTGGAATGTGACCTTGTGAAATCTTAATGCACAAGCTCTTGGTCCAAGAAACAACAACATCCATGACATCAGACCCAAACCTACGTGAAAAAGATAACATATAACAGAGCAATGAATTTCGGATAGCAGCCATACACCATAATAACAATACATTAAAGCCTTGTCTTTGAATGTCTTGCCATTCTTTTCATATCAAATAATAAATTGTATCTTATATACCCTAGAAATTTTGAATCTTTTAAAGTTTATGGTTCATGACTATAAATGGCATTAAATAGTGACCGGTACGCTGAGGCACACCATGAATAATTCTCACCTGAAGAAGGTCAGACCATACAAATCAATAGGCAAAATTCAAGAAAACCTCATACTGCAGGGGTATCAAAAGGCCCTTACCCATTTGGATCTTGTAAAACCAAAAGAGTTTTCCAGGGGGATGGCCCCTTTAGATGAGATTAAAAAAACTTCAAATCTCTACCTAAAAAATTATAAAATGATTTGGCTGTTGAAAGTGCTCGTGGTTATAGCATCTTCAGAAATTATATTAAGAAAAAATCCATTTGTAGAGGCACTCTAAAAGCTTAAGAATCGCATAATATGATAAAAAGAGTTCATATTACAAGAGCATAATAATTGATGATGCAAGAATGCTGGAAGATACTCCTGCAAACAATCAGAAAAGAGAAGAGCCCCGAGCCCAAATTGGCAGAGTGATTGCCAAACCCAAGCTCCTCTACTAGCAACTAGATAAATCAAATGCACCTTATATTCGAAACTGTGGTGCCAGCAAAACGTTCATGCTTTATTTTCATGTGCATTTACAATGAACTGGAAAAAAATTTATAAGGAACAGCAACCGTTAACCATAATTTCAAACAGCATGACCATGCTCACGGGAAGTTTGGCAATTCATCTGCCATAAGCAGCATCCCAGTACATCTGAAGACCTAGCATTGACGTCACCCTTCACCATCTGGTTTCTTCCTTGTCAGAACTACATAAAATAATTTAAATTGTGAGGCACAGCAGCACCCACAAAATTTTTAAGGTGACAAAATAGTAACTAGCTCCGTTTCCAGCTCTAAAAGTCAAATGATATCTATTAAGCAGCATCCCAGTTCTTTGTTTTTATTATTGAATTACTGTTTAGTCTATTAAATGTAAAAATGATATGTTTTTTTTAGGCAGAAAATTAAATGATTTACTGGAAATAAGCTTTAAGGATTAAATGGTGTATATATATCAATTGAGAGGAATGGAGAAGACTAAATAATTTTTTACCCATAATTTTTTTTTTTAAAAAGTATTAATAAAGAATTTTAAATACAAGGTTTGGCTAAAATCCACTATTGGATAATCAACAATGACGGAGCCAAAAATAAAAAGTAGAGGGTGCAAAAAAAATTTTAAAATAAAATTTAAAAAATATTTTCCATTTTATAGGTAAAATTGAAACTTTAAACATTTTAGGAGATAAATTTCTTTTGAAAAACAATTAGGTTAAGGGCAGTAGGTAATTCTTGGCACCTCACCTAGGGATGAGCATTTGATTCAATCAGCCAATTCAATTAATTTGGTCATTCAGCAAAAAAAAAAAAAATAAAAAAATAATCAATTAATGGTTTGATTTTGAAAAAATTTGATTTTCAATAAGATTAAAATTTCGATAATCGAATCACTCAAATTAATCAACCTCTAAAACTATAGTATTTTGATTGAGCATAATAAATTAAAAAATTCTAAAATTACGTGCTTTTAATTAAGTATGATAATAAAAATTTGATGAAGTCTGTTAATTACTAATTTTGATTAAATTTCCTCATTAATTAAGGTTTCAATATTTTTAACTTTGATAAGTCAATAATCAAATTAATTTGGCCAAGACAATTAAGTTAAGTTCGATTAAAATTTAATTTAGTTAGTAAAACAATATTGATTAATTTACTTATTTCAGTTAAAATTATTACTAAATCGGCGGAATGCCAATCCTACCCCCACTCTCCATCATTTGTAATCCACTCTAAGAGATTAGGTTTCAATGTGTGAAAATAATATTTATGAAAAATAACAATAACAACGCTTAAAGTAAGATTCATGTCAAATTGGAAAGGTATCTGCGGAAAAGTTTATTCGCTCTATCTCTAAATATTTGTCAAATTTTAAAAAATATTAAGTCCTAAAATACTTGTGGTTGTTTCAAGAAGTTATGTTTTTTTTTCATGTTTTTTTTTCATGTTTACTTTTTATATATGATTAACAATTATTGCCAATTCATCAAAAATTTAATGTTTGAATATATTAAAGTCAATTTATTCAATAATTTATTATAACTCAGAAAAATTTAATATTTTTTTAAGAAATGTAAAATTTCAAATGTGATAGTTATTTATGAACAAATGGAGTAATTAATACGTAACAATAAGATTAAGAGAAATGACAATTATGAATCTTAAAATAAAATTAATCTTAAATCCAAAATGATTACGTGGGCAAAATAGAATTTAATTGATGGATGAAAATAATATTTATGAAAAGTTAAGATAAGTACAAAACTGAAATAAGATTAACTTTATATTCAAAAATCAAAGTGCGCTAAATACATAAATTTATTCATGTATTATACGTAAAACAATTTGTAGCACCTTTAATTAATAAAATTGCATCTATAAACATTTCAATTCACAGAATTTTTCTATTGAATATTCAATTTATAAAATTAGATTTACTTCTAAAAAAAACTTATAAAATTAAATTAATTGAATATTTATTAAACATTGAAAAATTTTGAATGAAAAAACTATTATTTCAAAAGTTGTAATTACAATTAAATTAACAAAAGAAAAGCATCCACCAAATTTATTGGTAAAAGAAAAAAAAAATGTTGAGGGAAAATATTTTTATCCCTGCATCTTTGTCATGCACGAAGATCTAAATAAATGACCAACTAATATATATATATAAAATATCAATCTCTTTTCGCATCTATAGGAATTAGATTATCAGAATGAATAACTTCATTAAAGGAACATTAAATAATTTATGGAAGACTTTTTTCAGAGATTTTACAAGCCTTACAATGACGATCAAAAAAATATATAATTCACCAATTTAGAAAAAAACAAAGTCACTCGAAGCAAGTATATGTAATACATGTAAATATGATAAACAGAAAATTAATTATCAACTGATATTGCGTCTGAGTAGAATAAACAATTCAGTGTTGTTATGGTTTAACTCATGAAATGAGGAGAGATTGTCTGCAATTTTCTTGGCAAGGTTATGAAATATTTGGTCTAAAATATTTTCACCAACTCCGAAGTGTTCTTTCAAGAGACCCTGAAAAACTGATCTTGTACCGACAGAAAACTTCACGGAGGTCTCAGGATCATATTTCACTTGACGATCTGAAACGTGTAAATTTTCAATACTAAAATGCCCATTTCCGCTTTAATAATTTCTCTAACTCCTTTGGGGAAGGAATAGTAAAAGGCCAAATTTGTGTTACTTTTCTTCACTTATCACTCCCTACAAGAAATCAAATCAAAGATAATATAAGATTAGCTTAATATAGAAGTCAAATATAATAACGATGAAAAATAATGTCTTTGGTTCTTACCAGATTTAAGGCCATGTCTCTGAGGGAATTCCCCCCAAAAAACTGATTAAGTAACCCAAGCAGGTGTTCTGAAGACATAGGAGTACCATTTCTACGACCACCAATTTATCATAGCCATTAATCCACCCCCACAACTTCTCAGCTTGGCATATTAAGGGGAAACTATCTATTCATTCTTGAATTGGTTCCAAAATATGCCTCAGCAGCTTCGCTTTACTAATCCAAGGCAACATATGCTTCTTTATTCAAAGCTTGGATCTTCCAAAATTTCCTCTTGGAATTTTAGATATCCAGTGCAAGGCGTAAAAGGGAATTAACAAAATGGCTGAGGGATTTTGGAAAAAGGCGGGGACTGTAAAAAGAACCCAGGCACTCAGCTGCAAAAATGAATTTGATTGAAGATAGGAATTGGAAATAAGAGTGTTATTTAAAAAGAGTGTTAAAATCATTGTCTGTTTGGTCATTGAAGAGAACTTGGAATTCTAAGGGTGGTGGGTTTTGAAGTTGGGTTTGGTATTTATGATTTACAGCTTCTATTATGTATTTAACTGCAAAGAATGAATTGGGTCCGGTTGAACAACCTAAATCTGCTACTGTAAATGTGGTTAACTTATCAAAATTAGGGTTCTTGAAATCAAGGTTTTTCTTAATGCCTTCACATACCAATTCTTTTGCAACATCCGCCCCTTCTTTCTGTAGGAAATGCAAAGTAAATTCAGTTACTAGATGTCTTTATGATTTTACGAAATATTAGTAGAAATTAATAGTAGAAAAGAGAAGTACCTGATAGCTAGAATTTTGAGCATAGCTGTTAGGACCATCTCCACCCACCATTGGACGTGATTCTTTAACCATTTTGGTTTCTTTATGAGTTGCTTTTAATGGTTATACTTCAAACGCAGACTGCCTATGTATATATTTACAGAGATTACGTATCTTTCTTCATCGTTACTAAATTAATTATCAGTTTATAAACTAATCCAAGAATTATTAACAATAGATAGTTTCGAATTATTAATAATAGATAGTTTCCCATGCGAAGCAACCTATAATTATTTATTTATCCCAATTTTCCAATTAGTTGACTGCAGAAACATGTTCTGCGCGCAAATGTATTCAATGAATGAGTTAGATGATCAAGATCCAAAAAGTTTTAAAAAAATGAAAAACATCTTCCTTGAGATTTACATTTCATAAAAGACGCCTTATCTGAAAAAAGGTGTCGTCTTGTAAACAAAAATTATTTATTAGTTTTACAAGTTTTCAATATTCACTATAAAAAATAGGAAACTCGTCGTAGGATCACCGCTACTAAAATTTTAAATTTTACTTTTAATATATTAGATATTAGGTAGTATGACATATGAGATTTTTTATAAAAAATTAATTTAAAATTTGAAAAACATTAATAATTTTTATTTCATAACTTTTAGAAGGCTTTTATTAGCATAAGAAACAAAATCCATTGCAAAATCCATTGACTTTGCAAATAAATACAAAATAATTAAATAAATTATGATTTTATTTTATCTAAACATTAGTAATTAAATAAATTACTAGAAAAATTTTAAAAGAATAAATATTTCAAATACTATAATTTTAAACTAACTAATCACCCGTTTCGCTTTAATAGCAACATTTGATCTTTTTACAAGAATTAAGAAAATTATTAGAATACATTGATTTTTTAAAATATATGGTAGAATGTCTAAATTGCATTTCTTAAAATTAAAAGCTCCACATCTAAGTTTGCTAGAAACCATATAATAAATATGGATAAATTTGAAAAAAAAATTAATAAACTCTTAAAATTTTAAATGAACATTTAAAGTGGAACAAGTTGTAGCTATTAAAGTGGAACAGAGGGAGTAACAAATTTTAAAAGGAAGTAATGTTGAACTCCCATATCTATATCAAACAATATAATTTTGGATTAAGTGTTTCAACTTTTTTTTTGCTACTCTCACTTTTTTAGACGTTTAGTTTTTTTTTAATCAAGTGTACTATGTAGTAACATACTTATTTAACTTTTAACTGAACATAATAGATAGTGGCTAGAAATTTTTCAAAATAAAAATTCAAATTTTGGTTCGAAACAACTAAACTCATGGTTCATTTTTAAACATTAAAATGAACCTTAAATAGAGCATGGACCGACAATTTGAATTCAAAATTATGAACTATTAATTTTAATTCATATATAATGCAGTTTGATTTCAGTTTAATTCTGTCAGTTTAATTCTGATTCGAATTGAACGGGTCATCCTTATTAGTTAGCAATAAATTCATGGTGATTGCTTCTTTCCTACATTTGCTTTATTCTGTAAAATTTTCAGATTAACTAGTAGATTGTGAATCACTTTTCATTCTTAGATAACTATTTTCATTATATGTTGGTTTCCCTCTTTAATAAAATTTTTGTAGCTATTCAAAAAAAGAAAAGGATAAAGTTCTTAAGGTACCGTGTGCTTGGCTATCTTCATATTGAATTTAGACCGGTTAATTAGTTAAACGTTAACAAACACAAAATGAAAAAGGAAAAGGCATCTTTCTTTATTAAAAAAATAAAACAAAAAAAAAATTAATTTCACATACAATCTTTATTACAAGAAATAGAATTACTTAGTAAATTTGGAAGCAACCACAAGTGCTTCTAATATATATATGAGGATAGAGAACTAAATGCAAATTTATCATCAACCAATACATCCAATGGTCATTACTCGGTACGATCAGGTTACCATTTATGTATACAGTAATCCCTCCCACCAGCTACTTATCCTTCAGGCCCTGTTTGGTAGTGTATTTGGTCCTTAAAAATCCTAACCAAGATGGCAGTGTTTATCTGGCGAGCATGTCGTAATGTCCTTCCTTCAAATGCAAGACTTGGTGCTAGAGGTGTGGATCTTCCTTCATGCCCTTTCTGTCATGAAAAGAGGGGACCCCTTGCCATGCAATTTTTTTTACTGTTCTAATGCTAGGACTGTGTTGGCAGTATGATTGGGAAAATAGGGCCCTAGGTTAGGAATTGCACTCCTTTTATTGATGGTTTTTCATCCTTTTCTAAGTTGAATAAATGGGGTCTGAAGAAGTGTGGCTTGCTTGGGAATATAATGGAATGCTTGTAATGAAATATGTTTGGGAATAATGTGCATAGAGTCTATTTACACTATTGTGTCTTTTGCTAGACGTTATTTTGCGCGATTGCGGTAGCAGCTAACTCCATTTCCGGTCTTATGCTGCTCTTAGTTGTTGCTGTTGATTTTCGGAATGCTATATGGGTGACTTCGATGATGGTGTTTTGAAAGGTAACATTGATCTGCGTTAAGTGGTTGATCGCTTCTCATTATGCCATTGTGTTTAGGATAAGCCCATGGTCAGTTTTTCCAGAGTTATTTCTGGTTGTCTTCTTGTTCTGATGCTCACAACCATATGGCACAGAGGCTCTTGCTATGCGGGCGTGTGCCTTCATTGCCATCTTCCATAATGCTTGGGTGTCTATTTGTCCTTGGGACTGATTCCTTGTTGGCGCTTATTGCAAAGTCAACAGTGATTACTGCTAATGTTTCAGACTGGGGGAGAGTCATTTCGATATTTAAGGCTTTCAAGGTCAAATTGAAAATTGGTAATATTTCTTTGATTCGAAGGCAAGTAAACATGGACTTATCATAAGTCATAGCTTAGCTACAAAAAGCATGCAAATCAAAGGCTTGCTTTCGTGTTTGGAGTACTGTCCTCATGTATTGATTGTAGTAACTATTTTCTTCTTCAAATGCTATTCTTGATTAATGAATTACCATTTTTCATGTCAAAAAAAAAAAAAAAAGCATCCTTAAAAAGATTGTCTTGGAAAAAAAGATTTATTCTCAATGCGTGAAAGATAAACAGAAAATATATATGGCCTAGACATAAATATTCCTATCGATGTTGCGCTTAAGCAGGATGAACAATTCAATACCATGGTTTACGACATCAAAAATAGAGAGATCAGCTTCAACTTTCTCTGCAAAAGATTGGAATATTTTGTCCAAAATATCTTCATCAATTCTAAAATGTTCCTTTAGGAGTCCTCCTAACTTAGATGCGAAGCAAGAAGCTTGACATCTGCCTTAATCGCCTGATGTTTCCTAATCTCCAAGCTTTCGATACTGAAATGTCTTTGATACTGAAATGTCCATTTCTATTAATAATTTCCTCCAACTCTGATGTTGCATCGTACACAGGCAAGTTGAAAGACTCCACTTTTTCTTCATTTATCACTCCCTATACAAGAATTAATCAAAATATTAATTTTACAAAATATATAATATATTAATATATATATGGAATTTTCAAGAAGAAATTTTTTAAAATCCAAATGCATAAAAAACAAATAGAGAACCTAACGTTTTTGTATCTTACCACTTAGCCATGTTCCCTAAGGGAATCTCCCAAAACATCAAAGGTTACATTTATGCTTGGAACTCTATGAAGTTTTGAAGTACTATAATTATCTTCATTTTGGACGAACCAGCATTAATAATAGCATCAGACCTCTCACTAACAATTTTTCCAGCTCTAACAATTTAAGAACAATTTCTTCAGCTCTAGCATTTAGGAATTTATTCATATCATTCTTGAATTGATTTGAATATGCTTGAGTAACCTCTTTTACCAACCTTGAGCAATATATGCTTTCTTTATTCAGAGCAGGAGCTTCCAAAATTTCTCTAGGAATCTTAGACAGCCAATGTACTGCATATCAGGAGTGAAGAAAATGAATAGAAGATTTTGGGAAAAGGAGATTGTAAAAAGAACCAGGCACTTCTACTGCAAAATATTTTCGATCGATAGGTAAGGTTCTAAAGAGAGTGTTAAAATCATTGTCCGTTAGGTCATTGAAGAAAACTTGGAATTCTAAAGGTGGTGGGTTTTGAAATTGGGTTTGGTATTTATGATTTATGGCTTCTATTAGATTCTGCACTGCGTAAAATGTATTGGGTCCTGTTGAGCAACCAACATCTACTATTCTAAATGTGGTTAAAGCTTCAAAACTTCAAAACTTGGATTCTCGAAGTCAATCTTGTCCTTGATGCCATCATTTATCAAATCCTTTGCAGTTTCCAATCCTAATTTCTGCGTAAAAAAGGCATGTAAATTGTGTAAGCATTGCAAAATTTTATACTCCCTCTGTTCACTAACTTTAAAGAAAACAGAAAAACTATAAGATTAAGAAAATATTTAAACTTTTTTTTTGCATATAATACCCCTAATCAGCTTTAAATATATAATTAACGGTGCGAAAGCCAACTCATTAATAAAGTATTCCAAGATGTATTTATTAACCAAAATCTTTAAGGATCGCAAAAACCTACTCAACTTTAAATTGAAATATTTGAATATATTTATATCGTTTTCGAAACGAAAATAAGGCACTAATTAGAGAAACAGCCCTCAAAAACACTAGATATGGGAACAATAAAATCAAAATTTATACACATATTAGTAATGGGTTAATATCCATATGAAAGACAATTTTTTAAAGTAAGGTTGTAACAAATATGCTAAATCCCAAGGAAAATTTTATGCTAACATGCCAAGAAAAATACTGACTCATCTTTAGTCATATCTGAGCTTCATGCATGAAATTTTGTGCACACTTCTTGAAAATGAATACAAACTTAGCCAACAAAAGCATTAACATTTAAGTTTGATGGAAGAAATTTAATGTGTTCCAAATTAAAAGTGTAATATGGGACATAAGACCTTTTTGTTTATAAACTAATGCACAACAATCTAAACAAGTGTGGCTTGAAATTTTGGCCGGTGCAATGTACTTTTTATTCGTGGCTCAGATCCGTAAAGTTGAAAGCATATTCTAACCAATTGCTCA